TTAGTGAAAGATGGAATTTCCATGGCTACGTTCAATCTCGAAGCCTGACTGTGACTGAAGTCACTTGAGAAAACACTAGAAAAATATGATCGTATCACTATTCCCCATAAACTCCCATCCTTGATATTTTCCTAGCATACATTAACCGATTTGACTTTCATATGCTGTGTTCCGTGATTGTTGGATATCTTACCAACATCCCGGAGAACCGACGAAAACCTAATTCTGGCGTGGATCAGCCGCGCGATCACTTGAGATTGCTGTCTGCACAGCGCGGGAAGCAGTGGAAGCACACCGTGAGCTTCGGGAGCAAAGATCAGCATGGGGGTTCAAATTCAAGTGTTTTTTGCACGACATGAAGCATGCGAACCAATTGAAATGGCAGAAACACAACCATAGGAGAGCCGATTCTTGTCACTTGCCCCGCTATGTTGGGATGCTGATCATACTTTGCAGTCCGTTTTTGGGTCTAGGAAAATTTCTCCAGAGGATCTCTTTAGCTGCTAGGGTTTCCTTAAGTTTCACCACTCCTTTTGGCCATGGGGATTAAAAGGAGGCGGATCGCAGCGAACAACAAGGAGCCGGCAGTTGCTCCTTCTTCTATGTCTGAAGTCCCCAAAACGTGCCTGGTCTTGCGGGACTGGATCAATGACCTCTATGCATCGAGGCATGGGGCGAGTGAGGAGAAGGCATGGCCAGTTGGGAAGGGGGGCTCCTTTCAAGAAGTAGTGCAACGGTGCTTCAACGATTCGGACCAGCTTCTAGCAGATAGCCTGAGCTTTGCCAAGTCAATTGGCTTACTTGGGCGCGACGCGGATCTCCAAGTCTTTGCCCAACGGTTTTTGGTCATGAAGGACATCCCACGAAAACAAACATGGATAATGAGCTTCCACCATATCGCCCAAAGATATGTTGATTAAACAATCTGATTATGTTTTAATTCAATTTCATAACGTCCATTTAACTGTAGATTGACTGGTTCCATACTTGCTTCGCAGGACTTCCCTCCACAGCCTGGTGCCTGGACTACCACCTCTGTGCTGCATTGGGACTTTAGCCTGGATTCCTTTTGGAGACCCCCTGACGCGGCGACGGTACTTGACATCGCAAAGTCAATCGCTTTGGCTGGGTGGCGTGAGGTCAGCGATTCACAGTCGGTAAGGGTGGGATGGACACAGCGTCAAGGAAATACCTCTCCGCTTTGACAACTTCATTCAACTTTCAAAGTGGAGAGCTCTTCCTAGAACAGCTCTCCGCCCTCTATTGTAAACCCAATAGCACAGAGTAAGCCCCAATCCAGGAATACTACCTATATAAGGTACATCTAGGGGAAACCAATACTTACAGTAAAGTAAGGGGTGGAGAGCTGTTCTAGGAAGAGCTCTCCGCTTTTGCAAAAAAATATAAACCACAAAGTGGAGAGATATTTGTCCAGCGAAGATCCAAACAGCTTTTGGGATGGGCACCGAAGGTTTTGGGATGGGCACTGACACCCTGGGGGTGGAGAGCTCTTCCAGGAAGAGCTCGCCGCCCCCCCGAACCGGAATACCTCGCCGCCCCTCCCCGAAGGTTTTGGGATGGGCACCAACACCCTGGGGGTGGAGAGCTCTTCCAGGAAGAGCTCGCCGCCCCCCCAAACCGGAATACCTCGCCGCCCCTCTCCGAACCGGAATACCTCGCCGCCCCCCCAAACCGGAATACCTCGCCGCCCCCCCTTTGAACCGAATACCTCGCCGCCCCCACCAAACCTGAATACCTCGCCGCCCCCCAAACCGGAATACCTCGCGCCCCCCCAAACCGGAATACCTCGCCGCCCCCCCCCAAACCGGAATACCTCGCCGCCCCCCCAAACTGGAATACCTCGCCGCCCCCCCAAACCGGAATACCTCGCCCGCCCTCCTTGCTGCTGGAAGATTTCTCAATTTCTTGGAATGATCAGTCAGCTGCAAAGATGACAGCAACGGTTTGATGCCTTATCATTAGATTGAAGGTGTATGTAATAAACGGGGCCCTGAACTACAATCAGTTAATATGTCTACTGCTCAAATTACAATTAGCATTTACCTATTATGTCCAATCCAAAGGTTTTCTTTTCAACGATAGCGCCCCAGCTACACTCTGTCTGCAGGGTGAATCCCTTGGACTTCGAATGCCTGTGGATGATGACACCCAGATGGAGACTGGTGAGGGTGAGGTTGACTGGCGGGGGGGGGAGTTCCAGTTCGATGACGGTGGGATGCGGGGTCTTGCAGCGGCAATTTGTTGGATTGGATTGGTCTACAGGTGCTCCAAGGAGAATTCACAAGACCTTTCCCAGCCTGGGGTGATCAACTTGGCAAGATCTTTGATGAACCTTCCAACCATGCGAAAGACCCAAACCAATGATGTCGCTACTGAGCAGATCCGCCGGATCATTTCCCAGAATGTGGAAAGCAAAAAGCTTGCCATCAGCTCGTTTGAGTGGGCGGAAATCTTACGGGGCATGAAAAAGCAGGGCAGGCATATGAGCCTTCAAGATGCCATTCAGCTCTACAACAATAACCCTGAGATCACAGCTCACGGTGGGGCATCCAGCGGGACATCGACCAAGGACGTAACAGTGAAAAACATAGCTTTTAATGTTATTGAATTCAATGAGTTGCTGCCCCCCCTATATATCCCATAATCTGGTAAAGTTTTCAGGGCCTTTAAGTTAAACCCCTATACATACTTTTAATAGTGACAATCACATGGACTTACCCTGCGTTCCAAGCGTGCGAGGACCGAAGCGGAGCCGGATCCTTAATGATTGACGGCAAAAAAATGTTTGCCATCAAGCATTGGATGGAGCTGACAGGTGATGCTGCGCGTGCCCAAGTCTTGATAGCCCTCAAGGACAACCCTTTTCAATACGGACCTTGGGGTGAGCCCCTATCCATGATGAAACCGTTGTACCTGAAATCAGTGGTGAACTTGACAAGCATTCCCCAAACCTCTGCAAGCTTGGTCCCACTTGAGGGCGAGGCAACCATTACTTTGGACTGGGGGCTCCCTTTGACTGAAGACTGCCAAGAAATTCTTTTCCAAAGGATTCGACTTCATTTCGAGAAGTCCACCGCCATAGTGGAAGATGCTCAGGACCGTCGTCGCTACCGGATGTCTGAATCAGACCTCATGAGCCTCAGGAATTTGGTTTGTCTCTATGGGCAAGTCCGTCAGTTCTTGAGCACCAGGGTCCCCTCTTTTGACAAGTTGGATTTGGCCATCAAGACTGGCAACACAGCGGACCACGAAGTGGCTGGGGTCTTGGAGCAACGGCCACACCAGTTTGCTGCTTCGTTCTTGCCAATGGCACAGCAGACTGCCATGGAGAATGCCAAAAAGCAAGAGGAAGTCGTGACCATGGAAGTTCAAAAACAACGGCTGGAACTTCGTGATGTCAAATGGAAATACTTTCAAGCTGCCCTTGCAAGGGACCAAGACATCATAGCAACAATCCAGGCAGCCCCAAAGCGTCTTGAAGCACTTCGGCATCGAAAACAAATGGCTTGGAGAGTCGAGCAATCACAGCAAGGAGAGCGGGTCGTCCAGAGCTACATGCAACAGTGCCTGCGCACCGAGCTGGTCGAGAAAGTTGAGCATGGCCAGCTCAAGATCAATGAGTACCGCCAGTTTGTGGCAACTTGTCAGGATGATTAACTTTCCGCTTCTGGCCTGTTCAACCCACAACATCCCACTACAAAATGCGATTGCTTGTTTTCACATATAATATAGAGACCACACCGGCACTCCAGGTCAGGTATAACTTGTTGTTGATAATTCATAATATGATAATTTGTTTATGTGGATTCAAACCATTTAGCATCATCCCTAAGGCCAACCTCTGCAACTGTCGTGAGACTGATGTGCACATGATCACGCTCATAGATCTGAATGTGCCACTTGCCAAATCGAAAGAGAAGATGGAGGAACTCTGCACTCTGATGCAGTTCGTCAATGATCTCAACCCTAACCGCCATGTCGGGGTGGTGGAGCTGCCGGAGACTGCCAAAAAAACTTCCAAACGAGGTCTTTGCGACGAAGAAGCCGATTTGCAGCAGACACTTTGGGGTCTGCGCCAAGTCTGTGATGCCAGGTGGATCGTGCCCTTTGACATCCATCCGTCTGCGGATGCGCAAACGGCCCGAAGGAGTGAGCTGTTGAAACCTCCTTGCCAATCTTTACACTTTACTATTTAAGTTTTGCCATCACCAAGATCATGTTGTTGAGGGGCCCTGATACCAAGAAGCATTATTATTTTAGCGCACGACTTGTCTGGGGTCAGCCAAACGACATAATGTTTCAGAATGTTGTGGAAAAAGTTCGGGCACATCAACCAGCCAGTACAGTGTTCTCTTCTTTGCTGAACCATTTGAGCAGGAGATTCAGCAGTGGACGCTTGGTGGTGAACAAGGATTTTGACGAGGAAAACCCGTGGATCAACAACTCGGAATTTGGTTGCGCTGGTCGTCCCCTCACCGAGGACAAGATTCTTCTCCCCCTTTCCAGGGAGCTACTTCTTCCTGAAGCTCTTGATCCCGACAATGACCTACGGTTTGCTGAACGAACAAGGCCATCAGTTGAAGCTGCCAGCGCCCAAAAGGGTCAACAACGTTGGCTTACCATGTTCAGGAGCCTCCTTGCCATGACTTCCTACAGCTTGAAGAACAAACCGGTGATCATCGTCAATCTGACGTCGTATGTTGAAGATGTCGATGTTGCGGTTACTTGTCTTTCTTTAGCGTAGGGCAGGGTTACAGGGTTGACCAGATTCACGGTATCAGAGTTAACCCGCGTTGTATAGAATAATGACTTGCAACAATCTTGGATCAAACCATCCAGCAATTTTATGCTGCCTAGCAATGCTTTGTCCAGCGGACAATTTTTTCGGGCAGCCAAAAAAGTAGGGATTGTTCCATGGCATGATGACGGTGACAGCTCCGGAGATGAGACGCCGGACAGAGACAGCACGTCAAAACGTCGCAAAGTTGAGATTCATCAGGCCAAAACTGTGCCTGAGTGTGTCCCAGAAAATACAACTTCTTTTGATGAGAAGAGCCCTCATGCTCCTTTGCCACCTGCTTGGCATGCATCTCTGTCGGCCACTTTGGGCTTTTCGATTCGAGTCACAGCGCCGTCAGCAACTGCCAGCCGGATCTTGCAGCACTGCAAGGCAAGGTTTGAATTTGGATATGGCTACTTTTAGTAAGAAGTTCAAACATGACAGTTGTTGGTAAAACAGTTGTTGGTAAGACATCGTCTTCAAAGCACAAATCAGAGCCCCAAAAAGGTGTCAAAATCAAACATTGGAATGCCATTCCATTTTTTCTCCCTTGCCAGGTGAAGGTCTCTAGATTTTAACACAACAAGTGCAGCTCCTCCTCCTTCTCCTTCTCCTTCTCCAGCTCGTCGCCGAACCTCATATCGCAAGCTCCGGACGCTGTGGGCTGCGCCGGGCCCGAACCTCATTCCCTTCGCTGTGGGCTGCGCCCATATCGTGAACTCCGGACGCTGTGTGCTGGCCCTGGACCCGAGCAGAGAGAATGCCAGAAGAGAATTTCAGAGAGGATGCCAAATAAAATGTCAGAATGCCAGAATACATGCAGAAAGAACGCCAGAGTAGATGCCAGAAAGAATGTCAGAATAGATGCCAGATAGAATGCCAGAATAGATGCCAGATAGAATGCCAGAATAGATGCCAGTTAGATGTCAGATAGAATGTCAGAGTACTTGCTAGAAAGAATGTCAGATAGAATGTCAGAAACTCTTTCAGAATAGCGTGTAACGGTGGGAATCACTTGGAAGTAATCTACTTTTCCAACCAGTTAGCATCAATAATTTTCCAACAGGAACAAGTGGAGCGCATCCGTCTTAAGTATGGAGGGCCAGAGTTAGCTGTGTTCAAGATTGGCATCACTCAGTGTTTGGAGATTCGGGCCCACTATTACTTCAAGGGGAACTTCTCTGAGATGCGTTGCGTTCATGCCAGCCAAAGCCTTGCCCAGATTGAAGTTCTGGAAGCTTCTCTCATCGACTATTTTAGAGAGAAGGCCCCAACCCAATGTCGCAATGTTTCAGCTGGTGGTGAGGGTATGCGACGTAAGGATGGAAAACCCAAAAATAAACCCCCTTCTTCTTGTATGTTGTTGCAGCAAATGCCTCGCAACCAAAACGGATTGCAAGCTAATTAAACCTTCCTTATGCGATGCTTTGGGGTTGTCATTGGCCTCGGAATTCGTAGACCCAGCGCATTCCAATTAGTAGACTAGAGCACCAACACCAGGATCAGCAGCCAGCAAAAAAGGCAGAGTCGGAAGTCGGAAAAAAGGAAAGACATTCAGATCCAGAATTTAATGTTCAAGAGCATGGTTTTAAAACATGTTTGTGAACTAATTCTTTTTGTATCGGGATAGCCTGGGAGGTTCCTTCAACGACTTCATTCCCTTTGAAAAGAACATATAGCATATAACGAAAAGACGAGGGAAAACATAACAAATAATTTCAAAACATTATTTCTTCTGGTTCATATTCCTTTACCCCTGGGGCCCACAGCTCAGGCTTTCCACCTGCGAGAAGCCAAGGAGGAATTGAAGGGCGGCTTCAACACATGCAACCTCTTCTACCAGAGCATTTGGTTTCTCAACAAGGACCAGTTTGGGGCTGCCAGGCTCACGAGAGAAGTTGTCGACCATTGGCTTGCAGGAAAGCTAGAGTTTGCAGGACAAAAGATTGGCCTGAACCCCCCAGAGCTGTCACCTGACGAAGTGGCATCTGTGCCCGGAGGCACGGCATGTGCCAACAGTTTGGACACTGTTTCTTTTGAAGTTCTCGAACGCAGTGGTGGGAAGATGCTGATCAAATCCGACGAGAACAAGCTCTGGCTGTCGCAAGGTGGCACCATTACTGAGGACTACAAGGCCCTGCATGCCAAGCATATGGAGCTCATTGGTTCCGGGATTGATGTGGTGGAATCTCCACAAGCTCCAGCCGAGACTGGCGGTGGGGGAGAAGGTGAGACGACCGCTGGGCCCACTTCGCCACCATGTGAAGAAAAGGAATCCCTGGAAAAGTTGCAGGAGTCACCCGGGGTGGAAGTCAAGGTAGCTTCAGAGATTTCCGGGGTTGACCTTGTGCTTGCAAAGGATTCGTCTCTATGGCTTGTTGCTAGTACCGACAAGGTGGTGGCCAAGAACTCCCAATTGGGAGGATTTGGGACGGGACAATACGTTCCTGCTGAAGAAGAACAAGGATTGGACTTCCTCTTGCCCTTGGGCGACAAAAGCCTGGTGCAATTGGACGAAAGCAGTTGGAAGACAGATGGCAGTGGAACCTCGGTTGTGACTTTTTACAAGCTCTTAGTGATGTGTGAACGTGAAAAAAACATCACAGACCACAAGGTCAGCTACATGACCGTGTCCAGAAAGGCCCAGACCAATCTGGAACAGGGGATGGACGGATTTGATATCCAGTACAAGAACAAAATGCGATTCAAATGCTTGCCGCAGGACCGCTTGACGGGGAAAAACATCTTCTCCAAAGTTGTGTCGCAGGCTGCAGGGTATCAACAAATCCTGCCGGTGTTCCGATTCCGATTCGAGAGGATTGGGGGCACGCTGAAGCTTCAGAAGCCTCACATGATTACCAAAAATTCGCTCCAGCTCAAGGCAAACAAGCCTTTGAAAATCCAGTGATCGGCAGCACTTTGAGGATTAAATGTTTTTGGTATCACCAGCCGACAAAGTCAATTTTCACACAATGTTTTCCACAGCATTGTGCTTGTTCAATGCCGATCTTTCCAGCGGTTGCTTAGGAACCTCGGGGGTGTGCGGATTGTTTGGAATCAATTGCTTTACATCCGGTGATCCCTTCCATGACAGATATTCCATCTGACATTTTACTTGACATTCTATCTGATATCTATTCTGACATTCTATCTGCCATTTTTTCTGGCATTCGATCTGGCGTCTTTTCTGGCATTCTATCTGACATCTACTTTGACATTCCCACTGGCATTCTCTCTCTTCCGGTCCAGCGGGGACGACTCTGACCCGCCGCTTGCTGTTCGGGTCCGGCGGGGACCACTGCGATGTAGCGCTTGCAGTTGAAGTCTGGCAGGAACCACTCTGATCCGCGGCTTGCTGTTCGGGTCTGTCGGGGACCACTGCGATCTAGCGCTTGCAGTTGAGGTCCGGCAGGGACCACTGCGATCTAACGCTTGCAGTTGGGGTCCGGCAGGGACCACTGCGATCTAGCCCTTGCAGTTGAGATCCGGGACCATTTGATCCGAGGCTTGCTGTTCGGGTCCGGCAGCAACCAATTGCTGTTCGGATCCGGCAAGGACCTTGCATCTGGCACTTGCAGTTGAGGTCCGGCGGGGAACACTCTGATCCTGGGCTTGCTGTTCGGGTCCGGCGGGGACCTTTCATCTAGCACTTGCAGTTGAGGTCCGCGGGAACACTCTGATCTTGGGCTTGCTGTTCGGATCCGGCGGGGACCACTGCGATCACGAGCTTGCAGTGAGGTCCGGCGGAGGAGGAGAAGGAGGAGGAGGAGGCCAGCTGACATAAAGTTTAACAACCCTCACATGACAGGTGGGGAAAAAGCTGTTTTCTAACTGTTGTTTTGGTTTTGTTTGCATTTACTTCCAGCAACACCCAGAGCTTGCTCCCATGCTGGCAATTCTGTAGCATCACCTGCTGGCCGCCAGGACTTCTCAGATATGAAGCCAACACCATTCAGAAGAGTTTTCAGTTTTGTTAGAGTCAAGAACATATTCAATGCTGATCCTATTTCAATTTCTTTTTTGCTGCGACTTCCAGGGTGAGAAGAGAGACTGGCTTGACAGTAGGGTAGCGCGCGCTGCTTTTGGACGTTTTGATTGGGTCCGCAGAAGGGGTATAAAATGAATCAGCAGTTGGACACCGACATGTGGAACAACCTGTGACGATCACTATACCAAATAACTTTGCATGTTTCAGTTTGAATGAGCAAGACTGGTTTCAGAATTAGCTTCACAGCCCTGGGACAACAAAACAAATGAAGGCTGGTCCATGTAGTGCCGTGGCTCAGTCTTAGACCCCTTTAATTTTGTTTGGCCTGAATCTCGACTTTGATTTACACTTTCCTACATGGCGCTCTCCTACATTGATGTGCTCACCGTATGGCAGGGTCTCCTGAACCTTCTGGGTATGCCTACCTTGTCCGAGCGATCTTCCCGACAGCATGAATGCCTACGAGAGTTTGCCATGCGCTTTCGCTGCTTTCCTCTGGTGGCTGATCCCACGACACCAGAACATATGGCAGACTTTTTGGACATGGTCTGCTTCCTGACAGTTTTGGGCAGCATGACTTTCACGGCATCTATGAGTGGTGAGGGTAGCGTTTCTAAATTTACCACTTGGGTCTATGATGTCCAGGCCATGATGGGTCCACCTGAAGACTGGGAGAAGTTGAAAGAAAAGATCTGCCGCGATCCCGACCATTTTCGAGCTACCGTGAGGATCTCTTTAGAGGCGATACAATCTCTCAAAGAAGAGTGCAGCACGCATGTCAAGGACGTGTATGGTTTGATTTTGCGAGTGGAACCCCTTTTGGGTGAGATTCAAAAAGAAATTGAAAGTTTGACAGGGTAGATTTATAATGGTTTCCATTGGGGCATGCACAACCTGCCTCGAGAATTTTGGACATATGGGGACGCTGAGCAAAAGAAACCGCTGTTGCTTACCGTCCACGTTTAGTGCAGCTGAGCTCACTGGCTGTACAGTTTCATTTAGCTGTTAGGTTCACACTCTTTGCATCTCCCACTTTTGTATTGTCTTCGACGATTTCAGTTTGATGCCTCATACTTGGACATACAGCATGAACATGTCAGATTGTTTTTGACACAGCTCCAAAAACTACTAGCGCCTTGGTTCAATCCATAGGGAGTTGTCCAACCTGAAGCTATGTCTTTCAGTGCCGTTGGTGTCTTTGACATCCAAGGGCACATTTTGAGAAGTTCGCAGTTGCAGCGTAGTGTTAGTGTACCCCAAGCCGCTTTGCCGACCCCAACAACAAGAGAAGCAGTGCAGAATGAAAGTCAGGAAAGCGTTCTTGGCCAATCACCTATGGCCAATGATGAAGGTCCCGAAGGCAGCAGTGGAAAGGGTGATGGAAGAGGACGGGGGCGAGGGCGTGCAAGAGGACGAGGTAAAAGGGCTACAGGAACAGAAGGCACAGGATCCATGGAATCACCCAAGACTCCCCGTGGTTACTAAGCAGCAAGTTGGGGCAAATACTATATAAAGGGGCTCATTTTTGGAATAACAAGGATTGTAATGATGGCGGGCCCCCCATCTATAGATTCCTGTTTGTTTTATTTGTCGTTTATTTGAAAACGAAAATCTTCAAGTATCTGCCACTGCAAACCAAAAAACGACTTGGGAGTCTTGACCTTACAACTTTTTGTTTTTGATCCAAGACGGGTACTGTAGGGTCACCATAGCCCAGGTATGAAAAGACCAGCAACCAAAGTGGAGTTTGAAAAGGCGGGGGACAAGGACAAGAAAGAGGCCACCCTGACCAGTGAGAAGGTAGTTGAACCAAAGTCAGTGGCACACCCAGTGATTTTCAAGAGGCCGGCGTCCAAACAAGTACCAGGGCCAAAGCCCACCAAAAGGAATGTGGAGGAAAAGGTCGAGGTTAGGAAGAAACCCGCAGCCCAGAAGGAAACAATTGGTTTGAAAGACGAGCACCATGACACCAGCAAGCTTTTCAGCGAAGGTTGCGTGGGAAGTTTCAAAGAAGGTGGTGAAGAGGAAACACCGTTGACTACTGACCCGCCTCTAGATCCACCTGAGGCTGCCAGAAAGGCAGCCAGTACCCTTGTGAAAAAGCGTGCCACTACCCCGATGCAAAAGCCAGCCACTACCATGTTGAAAAAGCCAAAGGCAACCCAGAAACCGGGAGCCAAATCAGCCCACCTTTTGAAAGAGGAGGAGAAAACAAATGGCTGGTTGCTTTTGACTTTTGAGCGGTCAAAGACAGCTACTACAAATCCCGGTGCCATTTATTATTGCTACTTCAAGCAAGGGGTTGGCAGTTTTTATTCGCTGACACAAGCGAAGGGCCATGGATACGAACCATGATGCAATTTAATTTTCCAGTTCTCAGCAGCACCAACATCAGTTGGAATCGCAGTGACAAAGAATTGCGCTGCTGACCCCAAACGAAAACACCACAGGTCATGAAAACACTATCTTTTTTGAAAATTTCTTATATATATACAATTTATATACATATTTATTACATATACATATGACATATGTTAGGCTATATTATCTCCAAATTGTTTGCATCAGTCAGTCTATTGCATTCATGCAGATATATGCAGACCATGTATGCACATGCGCAGGGATGATGCCTCAAACTCCCACACCGCAGTACCAGGCGGCAGCCTCGGGGGAAGAACCTCACGTTGTCCATTTTCGACATTGTTCCATTATGGATATGGTCATTCTGAGGTTCCAGTGGATTTCTGGGAGGGTTAGGATATATTCGGCTGGAATTCGGACTTCAATGGGTCCAACTCTTGGAAATGCGGTGATTCGTACGCTTCGGCTGTTCCAATGGTGTTCCAATGCAGGAAGAGCGAAAGCCGCACGGTCCAGGCGCAGATCCTGGGATGCCCCTACCCAAATAGTGACGCCTCCGAATTTGTGGAATAAAATCCAACTTTTCGATGGTCAAAATCCACATTGTTGGTGGTTGGATCCTAATTTTTTAATATGTTTGATAGTTAAGATATGTTGGGTTGCCTTAAGATCATGTTTAAAATCATTTTTTTTGATGCTTAAGTTGTCTTAAGTTGTGTTCAGTCCCATTTCTTCATGAGTTCATCGCTGCTTCCAGGCCGCGCCGCCCGGCACGTCGTGCACGGCGCGGGCGCCCCGCCAGCGCGGCGGGGAACGATGCGCTCCGGGGGACGGGTGATGACACCACCCAGGTGCGGTGCAGCTTGGGGTTTACCCTACTTGGATGGTCCATGGAGTTAGTTAACTCATGTTAAGTACTTAGTAAATGGATGAAAATGGATTACAATTGAGATATATATGGATATATAATGATATAATGATATATATATATATATACATCTATATAGTGGTTTATAAGCCAGTTGCTAGGCAGTAAGTGAAACCCATGGCCCATCTGAGTAGGGTAAACCTGCAAGAAGATGTTTTATTAATCCGTGGGAAACAATAGGAAAATTATCTTCACATGGTGGGTTTTCCACATCGAACTGTTTGTTTACAGAAGGGTAGAATATGATAGAATGGTGAATGAACCAGTAGATATATGGGATTTTGCGAAGAAACTGGTGGTATAATGCGGATTTGGATTTAATCTTTGGTTTCTATCCATGTTCAGTATACCCCAAAGATGTAAGATCTTACCAAACATGGATCCAGTTTATGTATGGGGACAATTTAATGGCTGTCAGGTTGGCGATGAAACTGACATTATCATCATGCAGCCAGATGGATGGGTGAAAATTGGAACATGCATGGTATTTTTTCGGTTCATTAGTATTCAATCAGCTTGGGTTCGTCCAGAGGTTGTGATTTACCCACGGTTTACTCATGGTTTGTGTTTGGACAGAAAATTCAATACACCCAAAACTGGCACTTCAAATGGGGAGATTGAAGACAACCGCAGCTTGGTGATTGCTCGCTTTGATGGATTGATTTGTAGACTAGTAGACTGTTTGTGATTGACCTGTAAAAAATGGTGATTGTTGATAGTTATGTGAGTTTGCTGATTTCTGGCTTGGTAGAAGATGCTATGGGGGACATGTTCAAACACCAGTGGTTTGGTGCTTCTTGCAGAGATCATATACCTCGCTTGGATGACGTTTCTGGAACGTCTCACCTATTTGTATTTTTAATGTCACTTGGCTGCAAAACCACCATTTCCGATAGGTCAATCTACATGTTTTTCTCTGGAGCACCACAAAGTTGCAAACATGGGCATCGACTTACAAGAACCGAGGATATTGACCAACAAAAGCGAGGATAGAGATAGAAACAATCAAAAAGTAACCAATCCACCAAAAAGGCAGCAAAATCATCAAGCTGCCAACACAAATGAGTAAACAACATACATTAATCATGTTGGGCCATCATATTCTGCATAAGAAAACATACGGTATTACTGACTATACATAATATCAGTGCGTACACACATCATAAACAAGTCATGTTGTATAGAAGTGCGCTGCTGCTGTCATTTGAGAAGCATCTCAACACACATTGGAGAATTTCATGAATTTCATATGATTATGATTAAGACATTATAGAATTTCATATGATTAAGACATTAATTATACAAGAAGCTCCAGTTTTGCTGATTAAGGCCACCATTTCAAAGGATTTTTCCACCTCCAAAAGCACCATGACCAGGCCAAGAAGGTTGCAGTTGGATCAGCTTGGAGAGGTGCGATGCCATGTTTTTTTTTGCGCAAAAAAAAAACTGGGGCGATTTCATCAACTAACTGAGATTCAATCGGAAGTTGGTTCTCTAGTTTATCTCAATGGATTGGTTTAAGGGAAAATCTACAGGAAACCATGGATTTTCCCATTAAATATGGGGCTTTCCTGTAAAATTTCCCTTAAACCAATCCATTGTTTATTGGGGACTGGTGTTTTTTGCAGTAGCCGCTAGTAGTTTCAGACACTGGTGTTCTTTTTTCTACCTGAAAAAGCGTTGTGTTTTTTATGCAACGGTGCTGTATTTTGCAACAGTTTCTCGGTGTTGTTTTCTGCAACGGTCCGTTGTGTTTTTTTGCAACGGTTCCCAGGTGCTTGTTGCAACAGCCACTACTGCTAGGAAAGATGATGACAGATTTGATCCAGAGCAGACCCCTCTATATAATATCTGGTTGGTGGTTTGGAACATTTTTTATTTTCCATGATATATGGGATAATCCTTCCCAACTGACAATTTTTTTTTTCAGAGGGGTAGGTCAACCACCAACCAGATTATAAAATATTATAAATGTGTTATAATATATGTTCATCTATTTCCCAAAAGGGAGATAAATTGTTGCTTGATACACCGAATGCCGGGATTCTTGCAGAATTTTTCCACAGATGGCTCCCACGGTTCCGTAGTGATCAGGGCTCACCATGAAGAAAAATGGACCGGAAAAAGTCATCCAACTATGGAATGATGGTTAGTAGATGTTAGGAGTAAGGATTCACTAAAATGACATTATTTGAGCTTTGTGAACTATTTTCTGGAAAGAAATATGAATTATATATACCAACATGCTAGGAATGGCGGAAGTTGAATGACCAGGTCCAATACGTCTAGTGTTTTGACCGTAGTATATGTGTCTCTTTGTCAGGATAGAACGGATGGAAAACCACCGGCTAGGGTATTACTGTAGACGATATTTCTTCTTCATTGCTGGAAATACACTATACCAAAAGTGAACTGCCGTGCATGTGATGAGACAGCCGTCACCTAGAATAACACCTAGATTCAAATTGCGTCACGGTGAACATCCCAATTCTGGCAATATTGGGATCCTGCAGATACCTTGGATGTTCGCCAGGGAACCAGACTCTTGCTGTTGTCTCAAAAATTTGGAACCCAAATTCAATGGTTGATCATTATTTTCACCATGATTTGATGGCCTTAAATTTCGGAGCTCTAATTTCCATTGATTCCCCCATTTCGAGGCAAAACAAATCTGATGGCTAAGAAGCATCATGTTTGATTGTAAAAACTGTTTTTTGGATGATCACATAGTACAGTATGTTTAGCTGTTGCCAGCATTCGCTAAATGGTTAGTAAGTGGGAGTATACCCGTATAAGATGCTGCCAGCCACTTACCAACGACTTCAAGATGATTCAGCAAAGTAGTCCCATAAATCCATCTAATTCCCTTCATTTTTCCTGTTTTACTGGGGAAACCCCATTAAATGTCCAACATTTTTTGGGTGCTCTCCAAACCAAGTTGTTTCCACATCCTGTGTTTTTTGATGGTTCAGGCCCCACATCTCCTTTTTCCACCCATTTTTTTTACGCTGCTCAGGATGAAGATGGCGAGTTTTCGACGGATGGTCATGAGGCGTGGTGCTTAAGGGTGGTCAATGGTGCTTAAATACTAGTTATAATGATGGTTACCCTCCGGTAATCAAATGTGGCTAGCTGGTAAATCCCCGAACTAAATGGAGGTTTGTAGCTATATAGCTGAGAAAATCATGGAAGTCAATGGGGGCCATGTTTGATTGCCGGAGGGCAACTGCCAGTGATTTACTGGTTGGTGGTTTGGAAAGTTTGGAACCATGAAATTTTATGACTTTCCATATATTGGGAATGTCATCATCCCAACTGACGAACACCATCATTTTTCAGAGGGGTTCAAGGGGTTCAAACCACCAACCAGTTAGGACAGTTAGGATTGGATTTACTTTTCATTTCTTTTCGGGGTAGTGAGCTGTACATGCAAATCACTGTGAATCACCCTAACACATTCTGACACCATATTTTTGGGAATGAATATTCAGTCCATTTACCAACTATTGAGTTCTATGCATTAGGCTTTTACCAGCTCAAAAATGGTTTGCCCATGAACCACAAAATCACACAGTTTTCATTTTGAGGACATTCATGCGTCCATGTTGGGAGGGAAAACCATCAGGCCATACGTACCCAAAATTTGTCCATATGTTCCTTGGTCGAATCCTCAATATTGTCATTGTTGGTTGGTCATCAGGTTTAAATCCCCCTCTTCGGATCATTTGTCTGACAAAAAATCACTTTGGAACACAACCCGTGACTCAGATAGATTCAACTAATCAATGTCACGTATGTCAGTATGTCCCACTCAAATCAGCCTTTACCCTCTGGTAAACTGACATCAACTATGGGAAATCATGGAAAATCACCATTTTTCATGGGTAAATCTGGGTAAATCACCTATTTCTATGGCACTTTTCGCAACCCCCGGCAGCCTCCTTGGCTCCCCGGTGCCACGGTGCCACGCGCCGTGCGGCGCCATGGGGCGAGATCTCGGGCGAGGTGTCCGAGCTGTGTCCCACAGCTCGGCCACGTCGGCATCGGCCTCGTTGCTTGGTGAAGGGCGAAGGGATGGTGTCTTTATATTATATAGATATAATTTAATTTAATATATAATGACATGGTTCATAATATAGCCAGTTTAATATCCCTATATATTTTAATATATAATATAACCCATAGGATCCATGTATGGTATATATATAATATAGATGATTTTCCCATTAAAACACCTATTTATAAGGGATTTCCCATGGCTATGTTAGATGTATATGATATATATAATATAAAATACTATAAATGTACTATATAATATATCTGGGTAAATTTCATCACGACCTCACTGCGACTGAGCCCTGGGAACCATGGTTCATAAGGGAAATCATCCCCAAATGGCCTTAATTCAGGTTAGTGAAATATTATAATTTACCCATATATATATAATATAATATATATAATAATATATATATATATATACTGGTTGGTGGTTTGGAAAGTTTGGAACCATGGAATTTTTGATGACTTTCCATATATTGGGAATGGAAAATCATCCCAACTGACGAACTCATATTTTTCAGAGGGGTTGAAACCACCAACCAGTATATATATATATATATATACATTAATATAATATTATCATGATTATTATTATTTTGATCCTTATGATTATTATGATCCTCATGATTCTCATGATTATCATTGATTAACATTTTTGAAGGTATATTATGGTATATTATGCTTAGATATGGTTAGATATGGTTACGGTAACGGCAATTATGTGGAGGGCGGGCGAGACCGCGACGCCCCGGAGGTAGTATGAAACACCAGTTCGTATATTTAAGTGTATATGTGTAAACAATTGGATTCCGTATGTTCAAATGGCCGGGCAGGCCAAGGAAAACCTTCCCCGAGGTAGTCTAAAATTATTATGATTATCATGATATATCATTGATTATAATGATTATTTTGATTTTAATGATTATCATGATTATCATGATTATTATTATGATTATCACAAACAGCCCGAGAGTTGGTTAAGAATCCGAAAGCTTGAGGCCCAGGGTCCCTCAAACTCTTTTTTTAAATGCAGGCAAATTTCCACGACAATAGGTCGAGGGTCCCTCAAATTCTTAAAGCATTCTTAGTTATGTATTGTATGCATCTGCGCAGCAATTTGGAGCGACCTAACGAGGTAACGAGGTGGAGTTGGCAGATTTGACAAGAGACATACGAAAAAACATTTTTTTAGAGCCTGATTTTTTTTTTTGCATAGCCGGGCTGTCTGAGTTTCACAAGAGCAGTGCCGAAAAAATCCGAAAAAAACATTTTTTTAGAGCCTGAAAATGATTTCGCAGCTGCAACCCAGGCTAAACCCCAGCCCTTTGCAGCCAGGGCAAAGAGAGAGAATCAGAAGGCAAAATGCTTTGAAGGCAAGGGTCCTGTAGCACAATGGTCAGACTGTCGGACTTCACGCTTGAAGATTATCATGATATATCATAGTAGTAGTAGTAGTAGTAGTAGCAGTAGTAGTAGTAGCAGTGTAGCAGTGTAGCAGTGTAGCAGTGTAGCAGTGTAGCAGTGTAGCAGTGTAGCAGTGTAGCAGTGTAGCAGTGTAGCAGTGTAGCAGTGTAGCGGTGTAGCGGTGTAGCAGTAGCAGTGTAAGTAGTAGTAGTAGTAGTAGTAGTAGTAGTAGTAGTAGTAGTAGTAGTAGTAGTAGTAGTAGTAGTAGTAGTAGTAGTGTAAGAAGTAGTAGTAGTAGTAGTAGTAGTAGTAGTAGTAGTAATAGTAGTAGTAGTAGTAGTGAAAGTAGTAGTAGTAGTAGTAGTAGTAGTAGTAGTAGTAATGGTAGTAGTAGTAGTAGTCGTAGTAGTAGTAGTAGCAGTAGTAGTGAAAGTAGTAGTAGTAGTAGTAGTTACTTTTTTCTAGTACGATTGGATGTCTAGGTATATATATATATTATATTATATATATATACATATATATATATATATATCGTGGTTTATATCAGCACTAGAGTACCACCGTTCCCTTGGAAATGGCTCCTTAGACTGATGCGTACATGCCCTGTACCAGCGATTGGCGTGAAAGTTTCTCGCCCTTGGCCCAATACTCGGCAACACACCTGTCTGAGCCTAGAGTGTATTCAATCTAACGCTCCTATCCGGAACCATGCAGGACAGATGGCATCCGGATTTGACGGTCAGTGCTGTGAGGCGAATAACGAGGCTTTAGAGGACGCCATGGGCGCACATTTAGTAAGTGTGTGGCACCCTGCGAGCCACCTGTCTCACCTTATCCATCTGCAGTGCCTGCGTGGCCATGGATAGTAAGCCGCCTATTGGTTAAAACTGGATCTAGACGAAAGCCTGCATTTTAAGGTTTTCTGACAGGTCATAGGCGGTTACCCAGCCAATTGTTTTGCGCTCGGAAAAACTAGTGGTATCTTCTAAGTCGCTGGTCTTTTGCAAAGGAGCAGTACTGATGAGTCTTTAGTAGACGAAGCCAGCACCCAAAGTATCGGATGGGATATAATTCAACATTCCCTTGCATGAGGTATATGTTTTTGGGATTCGAAAATAATCTAACAATTAACCCTGCAGATGAATTAATTCATATTAATTCCAGAAACTGCAGACACCTCGTGCAGCGTTCTCTCCACAGCACACCGTGACAAGGGTGTGAATGCCAAGCGCCGTGATGATTTGGTCAAAGGCACAACATTTTACCCTTAAAACAGTGTATCGGCCTTTAAAGCCGCTATCGCAGAAAATGCAGATGCTTTGGAATGCGATATTCACGTTTCATCAGAAGGCACTGCCATGGTGATACACGGGGATAAAATTGGCAGTTACTGTGAGATCACCGAAGACAGCTTACCAGGTGTAACTGGCAAAGCTGGTGAAAAATAATCAAAAAACGCTTTTGGGGATATCCTATGCAGTGATTTAACCGTTGCTGAAATCCAATCATTCCCTGCAAAGCATCTGCCACGTAACATGAATGGCTGTGAGCCACATGAAGACTATCGCGTACCCAAGTTACACGAATTACTAAAGTTGGTTGCTGAAACCAATCAACAGCGCATGACTGAAGGCAAGCCATCTTTCCACTTCAGCATCGAACTCAAAGGTCAAAAATCTGCCACTGCGTCTCTTGTAGCAGTTATTGAATTGAACCGCACCCAAAGGCAAGCGGATCCTCAAGCCCAAGCCCCAACCATTGATTGCAAAGACATTGTTTGGCTTGGACGTCTTAACACCTATGAGATCATTATTGTCAAAATCTTAAGTCAAGAATACGGCTCTTACTTGAAAGTTCTAAATTCCAGGCTTCGGACCCAAGATTATCATTTGAAGTTTTCCTGCGCACAAATTGCAAAAGTTTAATAGATACGATCAAGCATGAGGCACTTCAGTGGAAAATTCAACACGAGAGCTTAGAGTCTTATCAGCATGGACAAGATTCAGAAGAAACGATTGCACAATATCAAAAGGTTGAAGATTTCCTTATGAAAATTTCAACCCAGTTAAGAATTAAGGCCAAGGAAAAAAGATCTGGATAAGAATAAGGATAAGGATCAGATTGAAGTCATCCATACAGCGGCTGAATCCATTTCGCAGCGCGCCCAGCTTATTAGATTTGATTCTCAAACAATCAACGGCTTTAATGAAAGTTGTATCAAACGTCTAAATAACATGAAAACCTTAGAGGAAAAATAGGGTTCCTACAAGAATTAGTATATGAATTCCAAACATTTGAGCAAGAACTGCGACCCCTATCTCAGAATACGTTAAAAGTCTTGAACAGCAAGCTAGCAACCTAGACCAAACGATAAGAGACAATCAAGCGCAAATCAAAAATGCTGGCAATAACTTGCCTATTGAATTATCTAAACAGCGCGACGATTTGAAAGCAAAAGC